TTTTTTTTTTTAATTACAAAACACCCAATCAAGTCATCCTGGGGCATCTACAGTTTCACAGCAGCTTGTCAAAATATGTGTGAACTTTAGTGTGGTACATTTTTCAGGTCTGGAAAAACAAATTTCAAACTATTTCCTTCCACTTCACAATTATCACATGAAAAAAAAAGTTTTTTGTATGTGACAAAATGTGAAAAATTCAAGGGATGTGAATACTTTTGCAGGGCAATCTATCTGACTGGACGTGTTTATGGAGTTACTTTGGGTCACGCTTGTTGTGAAATATATTAGAAATGAATTGTATAAAAATGTAACTCATTTTACACAGACTATTGTCATTCAACTGCACATTTAAAATGTATATACAGAACAATGTTTCGTTGCAAGTCTCCAGCAATAATGGATAAATAAAATAATAAATAAAAACATGAAAACTAGTTAAAATAATAAAACGTATCAATAGAAATATAAACAATAAGAAGATCAACCATTAGTCTTAGACTTACCTTAGCCCTGGGTGATAAAAAAAGGGAAACTTGAACCTGGAGCCTTCCTGTGTTTATCTGAGCCGATTCGTCCAGGAGTTTTTGGACTCACCTGGTGACGTAGACGTAGGCTCCTCCCAGCATCACAGACAGCACCAGAACCAGAATGAAGATGGCTAGCGCTACGTTTCCTCCATCCAGAGGGGAGCCTGCCGTCGCCTCTGCAACTGACACCCAACAAATGAATGATGCAGGATTAATAAGAAGCATCTTCCAGAAAATAAGGAGTCAGGCTGAAGAGGGTTCAGGAAATGCAGGTGAATGAAATGGATAAACGCTGGGAGTGGGATAAACACACAGATGGCAAATGAACTCGGTAGATGTAGATGAAACACACAGAGGGAGGAATGCTGGTTTTCTGAAACACTTTTTTTTACCCCCTTTCTTTGTGACTTTTGATTTATCTGTCTGCTAAGAAAAAGTGTTCACTTCTCACCACAGACAGACACTCACCTTCCAAAGCATGGTTGCCAAAGCAGTCACGGTTAGCTGAAAAACATCATTCTGTCAGTCAGTGCATATGAAAACTGACATCACACAGAGTGTTTCTTTTTTATAGTCTGTATTTTTAACAAAGCCTCTCCTCCAGGTTCACATTCAGTCTTCTTTTTTTGTACTATGCCTGTCAAATCTTCTGATTTGCATAGTCAGTAAAAAATTTAAGTCAAAAATAGAGAAAATGTCCATGCAATGTGCTTTCTAAACAAAATTTTTACTGATAATTTTCTTTGTCACTTATCTTCATCTACTGCAAGCAAAACTAAAATAAAGCATTTTCCCTCTTAGATCATCTGAAAACTGTTTTATGCCTGATATTAAACTGTTTGGTGATAGTGAATGGAAGCAGTTGAAAATCTCACTTTTCCACACATGATCAGTTAATGTTTTACTCATTAGGATTTAACCACCCCACATTAATGTATTTGTGATGGGACTGGATTAAAATGCTTAAGTTAATTGGAGGGTCTAATAAAAAAAATAACAATTTTCAATTCAAAACTCTTTCTTCTTGCTAAATTAGTAAATAAATTGACATATGAGCTCAACAACAAAGACAATTATTGTTTTTTATCTGCTCTTTGATGAAACTTTCAGGTGTGACTAAAAAGCAAGGTCAAAACAAATCAACGATTTAAGTTTAAATTAAATAAAATTTAACTGGATTCATGTGACAGGATAGTCCTGCCGAAAAGTGACAAAACCTAAAGGTGAACAAATGACCTCAGTCCAATCTGATACTGAACCTCAGATATCTGTATCAGTGAAAAAAGTGGATCAGTGCATCCCTAAATTAGTTTTTACAGGAAATGTGAAGGGCATGTTCTGTAACAACTGGAAATGCCCCTCACATCTTTAAACCTACAGATTACGATAAAATCAAAAAGACCAAACTGAAAAGGAAATCTCACCCTGGCAGAGTGGAAGAGGGCCGCTCCAAAACGAAGGGTTCCCGATTATGCACTTAATGGCCACCTCTCCTATGAGCTCATAACCTTGGTAACAAACGAACGTGAGTGACTCGCCGGGCAAGTACAACCTCTTGGACAGGATCTGGTAGCCGTTGTCAGGGAGACCGGGGTTCTCACAGGAAACAGAATCCTCAGCTGGAGGAGAGAAACACGACAAATGCTAGCAGGAGGGATTTTGGTGTTTCTCAACCCCAAATTAGGAATTTTCTTTGTGTGTGCATGTGTGTGTGTGTGTGTCGTAGCAGCACAGACAGATCTGACAGCCTCTGACTAAGGTGACATGAGTCATGGATAATCTCCACCCCCTCCTCCAGGTGGCTGAGGGCTGATTGGTACGCTCTATTAGCATTTCATTTACATATCAAACACTTGACACCTACATTAATAGCCCTGAAAAATACACACAGTCCACACATTATCAGGCCCAGGGTGAAGTGTAAAAGCAGCACCGACTATGGCTCACATTAATGCTGCAAAATAAAGAGAGAAAGAAAAAAACAGAGAGAGAGAGAAGGACTCACACAGACCCAGTCGTGTCAGATGGCTCTGCAGCAGGAAACTAAAGCTCCTCTGTTGTCCGTTCTGTGCAGGCTTCCACTGGTCAGACTGTTTTGTTTCTATGTGTTTAACCGTTTCTCTCTAACTGTTCGGCCCCGGGCGCTCTGCGTCAGATACTCACACACACAGTGAGGGAGTCGAGACGTCCATACGGGCGTCCCCGGCTCGCGGCCGTAGCAGGTGATGGTGGCGCCGCCCTGCATGATGAAGCCGGGGCTGCAGCTGTACTGGATGGTGGTGCCGACCAGCAGTTTGGGGTCGGACAGGGTTCTGGTGGAGTGCTCCACGTGGCCCGGGTCGGAGCAGTACATGACTGAGAGGAGGAAATAAAACCACATCAACTTCTGAGCAGTGACTTGATCAGCGGTAAATGGCAGTAGTGTAATTTTCAAGTGGTGAAGAAAACTGTTGAATCTCAGTATTAGACCTGAGTGAAGCTGGACCCCCACCTTCTTCAAATCAGACAAAATTGGTGGTAAAAGTTTGTGCTACGTTTGTGCCGCTATCGTTTTAAAGACATTAAGAAATGTTTCCAGAGGTCACGAAAGGTCATCCAGTCTCTCCTACCTTCTTCAAATCAGGCAAAATTGGTGCCAATCAACTCGACTGAGTTTGTGCAGCAAAACTTTTTGTTTGTGCTGCTTTGGCTTTGAAGTTCAAAGGTCATTTTGATTTAGTGAAAGTGGGGGGGCCTGGTTGACCTTTAAGCTTTCATTGATATCTTAAAACCCAAAGCAGCACAAACAACAATTTTTGCTGCACAAACGTAGCACAAACTTTTGACACCAATTTTGTCCGTTTTGAAGAAGGTGGGGGTCCAGCTTTACTCAGGTAGATATTAGGTTACAATGTATAAAAAGACAATACTTTTTCATCAATGTCTGACATTAAATCAGTACATTTCCTATTTTTTTTCTTTAGAGAATTGGTAAAGTTATTCTAAATTCAGAAGGTTCACCAATTATGTGCTAGAACACTGAGAAGAACTGACTCTTTTCGCAGAAGGGGGGCTGAGAGCTCCAGGAGAGGTCCAGCTGGCAGGTGAGGGTCTCCCGTCCCACCAGGTCGTACCCGGGGTCACACTGGTAGGTGATCCGAGCTCCTCGCACCAGCGCCACGTGCGATGTCGTCTTCCAGCCGTTCTGGATCTCGGGGAGGTCGGGACAGGAGTCGTTCCGGGAAACCTCTGAGAAGAGAGATCAGAGACAACAGGATGATTAACTGCCTCTCCTCTCTGACAGTGTCAGCCGCCGAGGTCCATGATTGGCTGTAATGAGACGTTTCCATCTCCGTCACTGTTAACGCGGGTCAAAAAGTCAATGTGATCAGAAGTGCTACAGCTGATTATGACACGATGCGGTGAGAAGACGGATGGATTCATCGGGCAGTTACTTCACCGCGGATCAGAGTGATGGATTTCATCTGAGCCGGGCCACCATCTTTGAATATCACTTCTGTGCTGATCCCACATCAGGACGGCCTCGTAGAGAGTGGCTGACAGTTTTTTTTTTTTTTTTTTTTTTTTTTTTTTTTAAAATTAGGGTTTTAATTTTTTTTTTTTTTTTTTTGGAAAACAGAAAATTCAAAGCCAAAATCC